TTTTCAGTGTACACTTGGGTATGGTCTATTTATTATCATCCCTAAAAGGGTTTCCAAACAGTTATTATTGTAGTCTTTAAATATTCACTTGCATCTATCTCAGATATGAGAGAATTAACCAGAAAAAATTCACTTTCATGAATTTTCATAAATTTGCAAATTTCACTTGTCTGTTCTGTTATATTCCATACATCATTTATTCCTTTGTAATAAATTATTAGTCCACATTTAGAAATTACTTATAAAACCACACTGTTGCCCTCTAGTCTTTATTTAGCAAGTTCAATAAAAAACTAACACAAATCTGCTCTTTGGATGAAACCTGTTTTTACCTAAGAATTATTTTGGAGCTTTAAAAAAAGAATTTATATTTGAGCTGTGTAAAGATAATTTTTTAAGTAAATTACATAAAAATGGACATTATTTTCTAAACTGTGGCAAGACAAAGGATGGACCAGTCATTGTTATATTAGTTTCAGGTCTTTAAATTAGTGCTAGTTTCAATAAGAGACCCTTTTTCCTAACTGGTACACCATGAACAGGCATTCAGAAGAGCCTGATATTTGAGATACTAGTTTGAAATTTTATGTAGTTCTCCTTAAGTTATCTAATCAGCTGAAATACTTTAGACTTGTGCCTTAAATTCCAGGGAGCATGGATCAATCAGAATTTAAAGGAGAAAAAAAACTACAATTATCCAAATTTGTGTTCAAATAAAGAAACTTTGAAATTTGCTTATTATACTTAATTTGAGTCAGTGTATTAAAGAAAAATAACAATAACTGCTCATATCTTTCCTGCTTGTCTTGTCTGATGCTTTTTCAACAGATGAAAATGAGATAAAAAATTATAATTTAAAATTAATTTATATATCTGTATGTACATACATACATACATGTTTGCAATTTTAAGTTCTTTACTGAATAGTTAGGTTTTAGAGTAGAGAATGTGTTTTATAGTAATGGTGATGCACATATTAGTTAGTGCCTTAGAGCCAGTATGTGCAAATATTTGCCTCCTTCTGTTAGAACCATGGACTAAAAGTTTCCATTTTCTACTACATCCTATATGCCATTCATAGTTTAAGGCTATAGTAATTAGATCCTGAACTTTTAGTTTGCTGTTGAGCCACCTGTCCTCCTGCTGAAACCAATGTGTCCAGCACACTGAAGATTCTCTTCAATAAACTTTAGCTCTACAATCTAATCTTGCATTGAAAAATCTGACTTCTTGTAAATGTATGTGACTGGAGGTATGCCAACCTTATAATCATTCAATGCTTGGAAACTTGAGGGGGAAAAAGGAAAGGATCCCAATGGGAAATGATTTGAAATTATTAATATTTGAACATTTTTAACTTACAAAAAGGGCAAATTCATAGAGGCATGTGTTTCAACATAATAGATTAGATGGGAGACCCAAAATAAAACAAAATTGAAGGATATACCATGATTCTTAGGAGGAAAAGCAGGGAGGAAGGTAGGAATACTGTAAATGATCTTAAATAGACAACTTCTGCATTTTATAAAGGAAGAAACAGGCTCAGGGACACTGGGAAACTTATCCAAAGAAATATGGTCAATAAGTAGTGGAGCCAATAACCCAACACAGGTCTGTCTGATTTCAAAGCCACACTGTGGAATGTAAGGTAGCCAGGAGGAGGGAAACTGCATCACATTATGAGTCTTTGTAAGCATTCCATTTGAGGTCTTCTCCAGTTATGAAAGCATCTGCCATTTCCATTATATAAACAGTAATGTGCATAGATGAATATTAGACCTCATGTCGAAATACCTGATAAAATCTTCCTAATCCTCAGAAAACAGAGGCAGTTACTTGTATGCAAACCCATATGATGTTATGGCTGTCATCAGTAAGATCATAGGGCCAGTTGAGGTATGACAGAGTTTCCTGGTCAATAATGTACTCTAAATGCATATGTCTTCATGGACTTAAACACTGTACTAGCTTAATTGTAAATTTGTGCTTTCCAACACAGTATTTTCTTTAATTTTGCATATATGTGAGTTTCAGCAGGGAGAAAATGCCCAACTCCCCTAAATGGGAGGTAAGCTGCTAGTCATTGCATAAGGGACTGAAAAGAGCCAGGACAACCCCATTTTATCATGTCCATGGAACACCAAGGAGTCCCTGTGTTACCACTGCTACCCCCTCCCAAGTGCACTTAGCTGAAATACTCAGTAGCTTGTCTTTCCTTTATGAATACCCTTTGTATCTCTACCTTTAGTTCTCTTCTCACTAGCCTATGGGATCAGTAAAATATGTCTACAGCAAATCTCATAGCTCTGCTTGTCTAAACATTGTCTAAATAATCAGGGATTATTTTATAGCAGCATCAGAAGCAATTTAAACCGAGAAGATATTTTCTTGAATTGTGCTCCTGGAACTTGTCCATTTATAGCAAAGTTTCAACACATTGAATCAATTGCTTTTATTGGAACAACATAGATATTTTTTAAATGACCATAGTTTATCATTTATTATGTAGATATTCATTCAAAAATATGTAGCTAGTGCTTCCTTAAGCACTAACCAAAGTACTGAGAATCCAGGGGTGAACAAAATAGACAGGTTCCTTGCCTCAGGGCAGTAAATTAAGGCCTGACAAGATGTACTTGTTATTTAGGGTTGATTTCACAAGGTAAAGGCAAGATAGGAGCTAGTGTATATTTTAACACAGATATTACAATCAACAATTACTTATCAAGTGCTATCATTTACTTGCTATAACAGGGCCCAGGTTAGATGCTTACAACACTTCAGTGGTGAAAACCAAAGAGAGACAATGAGGTGCGGAGGAGTATCTGAGGTGGACAGAAGCACACCGTTAGTCTTGCTCTGAGGTGCCCAGGACAAAAAGTACTATTTGAAGAATTTCTGCACTGAGCCTTGTTCTTTTTCCATTTCTTTCTTTTATCTTGTTTCTCTGCTTTTCTGTTTTCTATTTGTTTATAGGAAGATGACTTAAACAAATAACTTTTCAGTTACCAATGATTCAGACTTTTAGAGCTGGAAGGGCCTGTAAGGCATCTAGTCTAGTGAACCTTTTAGTGGGAGCTCACAGCTAGCTAGAGGCACTGCTTAGATTAGTTGTTGTGAAGCAGATCTCTAGGATTTATTAATCTAGCATCACAACTGTACACCCATTGAACAATAATTCCCCTCTCCCCTCTCCCCTTAACCCCTGGCAACCACTATTATATTCTCTGCTTCAGGAGTTTGACTATTTTAGATGCCTCATATAAGTCAAATAAACTCTTGAAAAGCCTCCAATACATTAACTAGACAGGAGCAGTCAATAGATAAACTCATGTTAAATGAATAAATGGATGAATGAAATAGAGTAAAATAGGATGGAGAAAGAAAGAATGAGCAATTAAAATATTTCATTTTCCAATGCAGCAAATAACTCAGAAAGTAAACACATTGATATAATTTTAAATTTTTAAATAAATTATAATTGAAATGAACTAATAACAGGTGACTTTGAACTTTATCATAGGAGCTGAAATTAGGAGATGAAATTTACTGGGATCATTTTAAGAAGAGAAGAAACACCAGACTCACCTTCCTAGAAAGGAATTTGAAGCGGCAAAGCACCATGGATCTAACTTACATTCCTGAAGACCTATCGAGTTGTCCAAAATTTGGAAATAAATCCTGTCCTCCCATCAGCCGCCCTTTTCAGGTCCGAGTGATCATGTATGCAATTATGAGTGCAGCCATGGTAATCACCATCTTTGGAAACTTGGTGATAATAATTTCCATATCTCATTTTAAACAGCTTCACTCTCCCACAAATTTTCTGATCCTCTCCATGGCAACCACTGACTTTCTGCTGGGTTTTGTTATTATGCCGTACAGCATGGTGCGATCAGTAGAGAGCTGCTGGTACTTTGGGGATGGCTTCTGTAAATTCCATGCGAGCTTTGACATGATGCTAAGCCTGACCTCCATTTTCCACCTCTGTTCCATTGCTATTGATCGATTTTATGCTGTGTGTCACCCTTTGCACTACGCGACCGCAATGACCACTTCCGTGATAAAGCGACTGCTGGCGTTTTGCTGGTCGGCCCCTGCTCTTTTTTCTTTCAGTTTAGTTCTTTCCGAGGCCAATGTTTCTGGGATGCAGAGCTATGAGATTCTTGTTGCTTGCTTCAATTTCTGCGCCCTTACTTTCAACAAGTTTTGGGGGACAATATTGTTCACTACGTGCTTTTTTACTCCTGGCTCCATCATGGTTGGCATTTATGGCAAAATCTTTATTGTTTCCAAACAACATGCTAGAGTTATCAGCAACATGCCTGAAAACACAAAGGGGGAAGTGAAAAAAAACTTATCTAAGAAAAAGGACAGGAAAGCAGCTAAGACGCTGGGTATAGTAATGGGGGTGTTTCTAGCTTGCTGGTTGCCCTGTTTTCTTGCTGTTCTGATCGACCCGTATTTAGGCTACTCCACTCCCATAATAGTACTTGATCTTTTAGTGTGGCTTGGGTACTTCAACTCCACTTGCAACCCCCTCATACATGGTTTTTTTTATCCATGGTTTCGGAAAGCTCTTGTGTACATAGTGTCAGGAAAAATATTCAGCTCTCATTCAGAAACTGCAAATCTGTTTCCTGAAGCACATTAATAAAAAAGCCCTTACAAATGTGAATAGAGTATTGAAAATGAGACTATTATTTTGATCAGAGGCCCCATGCATCACATCTCCAGATAACTGCAACTATTATTCTGTTACATTTCAGAATCCAGATAAACATTCTGTAACCTGTGCAAGAGCTACATTCAGTATCTTTGATCAATCAACCAATCAATCAATCAATCATTTATTACTTGTGAACTTTGTATTCAATCAACATTCACTTCTATTATCATAGGAGCTGAAATTAGGAGATGAAATTTACTGGGATCATTTTAAGAAGAGAAGAAACACCAGACTCACCTTCCTAGAAAGGAATTTGAAGCGGCAAAGCACCATGGATCTAACTTACATTCCTGAAGACCTATCGAGTTGTCCAAAATTTGGAAATAAATCCTGTCCTCCCGTCAGCCGCCCTTTTCAGGTCCGAGTGATCATGTATGCAATTATGAGTGCAGCCATGGTAATCACCATCTTTGGAAACTTGGTGATAATAATTTCCATATCTCATTTTAAACAGCTTCACTCTCCCACAAATTTTCTGATCCTCTCCATGGCAACCACTGACTTTCTGCTGGGTTTTGTTATTATGCCGTACAGCATGGTGCGATCAGTAGAGAGCTGCTGGTACTTTGGGGATGTCTTCTGTAAATTCCATGCGAGCTTTGACATGATGCTAAGCCTGACCTCCATTTTCCACCTCTGTTCCATTGCTATTGATCGATTTTATGCTGTGTGTCACCCTTTGCACTACGCGACCGCAATGACCACTTCCGTGATAAAGCGACTGCTGGCGTTTTGCTGGTCGGCCCCTGCTCTTTTTTCTTTCAGTTTAGTTCTTTCCGAGGCCAATGTTTCTGGGATGCAGAGCTATGAGATTCTTGTTGCTTGCTTCAATTTCTGCGCCCTTACTTTCAACAAGTTTTGGGGGACAATATTGTTCACTACGTGCTTTTTTACTCCTGGCTCCATCATGGTTGGCATTTATGGCAAAATCTTTATTGTTTCCAAACAACATGCTAGAGTTATCAGCAACATGCCTGAAAACACAAAGGGGGAAGTGAAAAAAAACTTATCTAAGAAAAAGGACAGGAAAGCAGCTAAGACGCTGGGTATAGTAATGGGGGTGTTTCTAGCTTGCTGGTTGCCCTGTTTTCTTGCTGTTCTGATCGACCCGTATTTAGGCTACTCCACTCCCATAATAGTACTTGATCTTTTAGTGTGGCTTGGGTACTTCAACTCCACTTGCAACCCCCTCATACATGGTTTTTTTTATCCATGGTTTCGGAAAGCTCTTGTGTACATAGTGTCAGGAAAAATATTCAGCTCTCATTCAGAAACTGCAAATCTGTTTCCTGAAGCACATTAATAAAAAAGCCCTTACAAATGTGAATAGAGTATTGAAAATGAGACTATTATTTTGATCAGAGGCCCCATGCATCACATCTCCAGATAACTGCAACTATTATTCTGTTACATTTCAGAATCCAGATAAACATTCTGTAACCTGTGCAAGAGCTACATTCAGTATCTTTGATCAATCAACCAATCAATCAATCAATCATTTATTACTTGTGAACTTTGTATTCAATCAACATTCACTTCTAACTGGTGTTGAAAATGTACAAAACAAATATAAGATATTTCAGAATAGGTTGGACTTGGTTCACACACAAGAGACAACTAAAGCCCAATATTAGAACAAAGACAATAAATTGCCAGTGGTTTGGGTTCCTCTCTGATTCTACTCTAGGAATTCAGAAAAGGGAAGATCACTGTGACCTGTGCATACATGAAGGAAGCATGACCTATGGTTGGTTTTCACTATTTCTCTCTATTAGCAAGCCACCTTATCATTTGGCTTGGGAGAATTATTAACCATACTTATATAAATTATTCAGTCATTTCCTGGCACCATGAATCTTACTACAAAGAGCTGCCCATACGAGAAGCATGGGCAAATGATGATTACAAATCATCATATGCAATTTGAGCTTTTATCTTTGTGATTTTCATTGTGCAGTTTATACTTGAAATGACTTCCTCTTTCCTTTGTGTCTAGCTTCTTATTCTGCATGGTGGATCTACACCAACAGCCAGCAACCGCAAGGCTTTCCTGTGTGCTTGTTTTAACCACTATCTTTGAAAGTTGCCCCAGGGTCCCACCAAATAAATTTTATCCACACTATAATGCCTCTGATTTAAAACAGATCATTAACAAAATCCTTCCAGGGATTTTTCTGTGAAACATTACAAGACCAACAGAAACTTTCTTTATTTGGTAGATTGGAAAATACATGAGTACATATAACAATTGTGTTCACAACCCCTCACACCTGGTATTAAGTTGTGGGAGGGAGAAGAGGAGAAGCCGAAGGAGGGCAGTCTGTTCCTGAATCCAAATTCAGCCTTAGGTCAAACTCTGAATAGGCAAATTTACATTTGGCTTTTTCCTGTCTCTCTGTTAAACCCTTCTTTCTAAATAGCCTGCCACCCTGTGTCCTAGACCAAACTACGGAAATTATCCAGGCTCAACTCATGTCTTGAAGGACAGTATGATTCAGTAAGAATTCTTCCTCTTTACCATCAGTACAGTTTTCATTCCCTGTACTCGTTAGTTGAAAAAGCAAATATGCATAATAAATGCATAATGAAGTATTTTCGTGTCTACCGAATGGTACTTATTAATCCAGTCTACCTGTTGGTGTTGAGGGGAACCTATTTTAGGCTGTGTCCAAGAAGAGATATTAGGGCTTGAGGACCACTGCCAGGCATCTTCTTCCTGAGAGTCTAATAAGACAGTGACACCCCCCAATCACACCTCTTCCCAGATGAGGATATTTAAGGGACTTGTCCCACTTCAGTAGTGACAGACACTTCATGTCCAGTGATCCTGCTATACTTCTGGCTTCCTCTCAGTTCCTGCCTTTAAAAACCTAGTTTCTCTACTTCTGAACCATTCCTTTACTATACAAATTTCATGATGTGTATGTGTGTGTGTGTGTGTGTAAGAAAAAATCATTTCCTAACACTTGTTAAAGACAATAAGGCAGACTTTATTTCAGGGAAGCAATCAGAATGGTTTTTTGTAATAAGAGAGAAATTAGACTCAACTCCAACTCTGACAATGACAAGTTGGGATTTATATTTATACCAAGCAACATGGCATACAGTGGATGGAAAATTACTGAGAGGAAACATCGGGGTTAAAGAGGACTCTTGCTAGACTGACTGAACAGAAATTCTTGCTAAAGGCAGGCCAGAGGGGTGAGCTATTGAGCCTGGTCAGATACCAAGAGTGGGGGATTTGTGCTTAGCTGACTTGCAGGATTCTTGCTCCAAATGGATTCTAAAAAAACAGAGAGGAGCCCACGTTAGTCTGTGCAAGCAGAGGTGTTAAGAAGCCTGATTAAAGTTTGGTCAGTGGAGAGAGCCCTTGTAATGAGGGTGGTGTGTATGTGTGTGTGTCTACATTACTGGTTCGCAAAGGGAGCAGTATAGGGGCAGCCGGCTTTAGGATGGAAGACACTGATAATTGGTTGTTAAACTGAGGACTGTCTGTAGGTATTTACCTAAATATAAATGAAATAATCTATTTGAATAATTTAGCTAGCTAGCTGCATGAAATATATAGTTTTAAGGCTAGGAAAACCATCTATATTCATTGAGGTTGATACTGAGTCTCAGTAAGGGGTATAAATATTTATTTAGAATTGACTAGTAACATATGCCTCCCCTTCCACCCATGTTAACTAGTGTTCTTACCTCCAGGTTCACAACTGTCCCTCTACTCTTCACAATTATCTGAAGTTGACTTGGCTCATAAACATGTTATGTGGTTTCTAGGGTAGCTCCCTTCTGTTTTCCCAAACCTTCTCCTCCGCTGTGTGTAGGAAACACATACTAAGTTTAGGATTAAGAAGCTCTCTTGCCTTGGGATGCCTAATGGCATTTTATCAAAGAGAAGCACCTCCTGATCAGAGGAAGGAAAGAGGGTGAAATCAGGATACTTAACCCAGGCAACCTCCCTGTGTTCCTCCAAGAAAGGTTCTATAGCCATTCTTTGCATACAGACACCCTTTTGAACTCCTATAACCATTACCTTCCTCTGTTACTTTGGGCCTAGCCAGGATGGTACCTCCCTGTTATTGCTGCCCCTGGGTATGAGAATGTTCCCTGCTGATTTCCTTATATGCTGCCCGTATCTTTGTAAACAGGCCCCTTATTATACTCCCTCCATTACCCAGGCTGATCATGCCATCTGCTGCCTGCTGGACACCTAATGAATGTAGCTTTTTATTGCTCTGAGATGAAGTTTTGAAATTCTCCCTAAAGGCATCAAGTCTGTACAAGCCTGACGTGGCCTGTTTTTGTATACTCACATTTAGTCACTCCTTGGGGTCCACCTCCTCTGAAGGCATCATTGGCCCCTAAGTCATTCTGCCCATTTGCTCCACTTGAGGGCTCTCCTCCACTTGGCAAACTCCCTCTTAAGATCAGTTGTCAGTCTGAGATTTCTGGTGTCCTTATTATGTATAGAAAAGATTATTTGAGGTAAATGTGGCTTTTAAAATTAATATTTCATTCATAAAATAATATTGAAATACCTAGCTCTTCCTTTAAAAATTTTATTTACTTATAACTTATTTAACTTATAATTTACAAACTTTAACATACAAGAGGAATTATTCTACTTACACACTTAGGAACTTTTAACAACATCTTTTAAGGGGCAATTACAACTTAGTTAACTGAATTCCCTTAATATTTTATTTGTATTTATCAAACCAAAAGAGTCAATTTCCCTTTTTGATATTTAATTGTCAGAATAAAACATAAAACCTTCCCTAGTAACTTTTAAAAATGTAATGAGTTTCAAATATGTTAAATTTTAAGATTCTTAACAAATATAATACCATTTATAAACTTAGCAAACTTTTCTTGGGCCTTTCAACTTAAAAATCATGCCTAAATCAATTATTTAATAACACAAAGCTATTGTGGTAAGTACTGTAAAATGCTAAATTCTCTTAAACATTAAAAAGTTAAAAATGACAAATACGAAGATTACTTTTAAACCAAATACTGACTATATTAATACTAGGGATTTGATTTCCTTCATCATTTCTATACTTAATTCAGAGCCTTCACAAACATAAAGGGTTCTTTAAACCCTCCTTATAGCTAAAATAAAGTTTAAATTAAATTTGAATAATATAAATAAAAATAAAATGAACTTGTTTTAAAAATTTTTTGTTTTTTAAAAAGGAGCACATGCATATTAAAAAATTCCAAAGGAACAAAAGTATAGATACTAAAAAATAAGTGGCCTTCTGGTCCATCTGTTAGTCTTCCACACATCTTCCCCAGAGACAATCACTTTTTTTATATATCTTTCCTGAGATATACAGGCATACCCATAAACAATCATATAGGTACATATTGTTCTCTCACACTTTTTAAAAAAATGGCAAAATACTATAGATGCTGTTCTGCAACTCGGTTGTTTCACTCCATATGTGTCCTAGAGATTCATTCCATATCAAATAACATGGTTCTGCCTAATTTTTTGAAAGTCTGCAGCATGTTCCATTATTTAGAAGTATCATAACTGATTAAACTAGATGCCTGTTTCTGATTTTTGCTACAATAAATCATGTGGCAATGAATAATCTTCGCTAGTACACATTTATTCGTGGGAGCATATTAGTAAATACTGTATTTGATTTTTGAAATTTATTTTACTGCATTTCAATATTACATTATATCACTCCCTCTGTGATTGAAATCAATACATAGTTATTGATGCCTACAAGGAGGAGATAGCACAGAACACAGTGATTAATTAGAGTTAAACACTGTCCTCTAGAAATTTGAATCCTAGTAGTGGCAAATAATACATATGGAGAGATGAACACTATTTTGCAAGGCTTTGATCAATGAAATAGAACATAACTGACCTGAACCATTTGAATTTTGTGTTTAATTTAGAGTTATTTGCTATTTAGCACTTGAGAAAAAGCCTATTAAAAATTCAAACTTTCAGTTTACAAATACCTGTTGGTCTGGTGTGTTTTCTTTTACTTAACTTTATCCTTTAGTTACTTTGTTCTTTTATTTTTATTCCATATTACTTTACTCTTATTTCTTTTACTATTTATTTTTATTTTTTGTAGTTTATTCTATATTACTTTATTCATTATGGGGTATGAGCAGCTGAGAATGGTATACTGGTAAGTTAATGTCAAGGAAAGAAAAATATCTTTCCAATGTCAGAAGCATGCTGTTGTGTTTCCTTTTGCAAATTAAGATTTTACTTTTAGAAACAGTTAAGTCCTGGGACTCCAAACTGCATTTTGCCCTCCGTGG